AATAGAGACCTTAAGATTGACGTTTACGGCAAACGTCAAACCGCTAGCGAAGTTTTTGATTTTACAACTCTATTATTATAGCTTTCACACCAGTTTTGAAATATGTTAAACTTATTAATTATTAAACTTGTGCTCTTTATCAATGATTTAAGAAAGCAAATTAACCACTAGTCATGCCATTCACCAAAGCAGTAAATTAAGATTTGGCGTTTGAAGTTGACGTTTGGCGTATAAATTTCATGCTTTAACGACTACAAGCCTCGTAGCAGTTCAAGCATGAAATTTATACGCCAAACGTCAACTTCAAACGCCAAATCTTAATTTACTGCTTTGGTGAATGGCATGACTAGTGGTTAATTTGCTTTCTTTAAATCATTGATAAAGAGCACAAGTTTAATAAGTTTAACATATTTCAAAACTGGTGTAAAAGCTATAATAATAGAGTTGTAAAATCAAAAACTTCGCTAGCGGTTTGACGTTTGCCGTAAACGTCAATCTTAAGGTCTCTAATATGCAGCTGCGGTGTGAAGGATACTGTTGCAACAACTTGTCAAAGCAGTCCCATGCATGCAAGCATAAGAAACAACGATTGCCAGGAACTTGGTTTTGGTGCACCATGATACTCTATTGATCACTTATGAGTATTTGAATGGGTCGGTCAATCTCGTACCCAGAGCAATGCCTGTGCGCGGGCTAGGATGGCATTGGCTCTGGGGAAATTGACAACCGGAACCCCTAAATTTAGGGGTTCCGGTTCTTTGTCGGCATGCACGATTGATCAACGTTAAACCAATCACAGCACAAGAAAAATTCAATTTCCCCAGAGCCAATGCCATCCTAGCCCGCGCACAGGCATTGCTCTGGGTACGAGATTGTGGGTCAGTCGGCCAGCATCCTCGTTCCCAGGACCTCACAACCGCTCGCAACCTTTCGTAGGCCCTGGGATACATAGAAACCGGAAGTGCAAGAAAACTTGCAGTAGTTTCTAAAGCGCGCATGCTCTTGAATTGGGAGAGGTACGCTTCAGCACCCGCGTAACAGTTTTCACAGACAAGTATTACGAAGAAACGAAGTATTTGTGTTGACACTTTTGATAGAATTTTTTTCCTAGCGAAAATTGCACAACTTCTGCGAAACAGCAGTTCTCTAAGAAGTCAATCATATCTCTCCCTTATAGTCTAGACACCCAGAGCCTAATTTCCAACAACTGACCAAATGAAAATGGCTAGCTCTCGGGATGAGAATGGTTCATACATTAAGCAACAAACTTATACTATTATAAAAAACTGTAATGTATATTTTTTTTATATAAGAAAGAAAATATGAATCGATCGAAGACGTTTAATTAAGCGAAAATTCTGCAAAGAAAATTTGACGCATGCAGCCGTTTATCTCCTACCATAAACGAAACATATAATTATGAGAAATCAAGAACTGGGCACATATAGATAGAAAGATAGATAGATAGATAGATAGATAGATTGAAATTTTTATTTAACCACGGTACACGGTGGTCTTATCAATTGTAGATATGACATATTTACATTTGTTCTTCCTAAAAGCCGTGTATCTTAATATTTCAATATGAAACTATATACAGAAAACATATTCTATAGTTGGCACAGAATATAGTCGAGTCTAACATTTTTACAAATATTTTAAGTGATTGTGCGTCTTTTATCTCACAGTATACCTGCATGTATTGGAATTAATACGCGAATTATGATACGCGCGCATATATATCGTGTTTTATAGCGCGCTAATATTTG